TTGCCGTGACTTTAGATGTTCTAATGAAGGTTGATCATCACTGACTCCACACAACCAGAAGGTCTCGATCATTATCATTAATCGGAATCAGAAGATTTTTTTATTGCCCTTGTCATTAAATGCAAATCACTGACTAGGAACTTGTTTCACACATAAAAAATCACATAGTAGGTAATGACTGATAAATAATATGTACAATTAGCAGCAGGATAAACAGTGCAAACATACTATTACAGTGGCTGGTAATGTAGATATCACAGAGTGTTGAGACAGACGGCAGAGGGGAAGAAACTGTTTTTGTGGCGAGAGGTTTTGGTCCGGATGGATCGTAGCCTCCTGCCAGACGGAAGCGTCTCAAACAGTCCGTGGCCAGGGTGAGAGATGTTGCCTGCAGTTCGGCCTGCTCTCCCTTGGGTCCTTGCGGCATACAGGTCATGGAGAGATGGAAGACTGTAGCCAATCACCTTCTCGGCTGAGCGCACAATGCGTTGCAGTCTCTGTCTGTCCCTGACAGTAGCCCCAGCAAACCACACTGTGATGGAGGAGGTGAGGATGGACTCGGCTGTGGCAGTGCAGAACTGCACCATCATCTGGACCGGCAGCTTTGCTTTCTTCAGTTGTCGCAGGAAGAACAACCTCTGCTGGGCTTTCTTGTTGATGGTGCTGATGGTTGGCTCCCACGTGAGGTCCCGTGTGATGCAGGTGCCCGGGAAACGAAAGGAGTCTGTGATGACGATAGGAGTGTTGTTGAAGGCAGGGGGGCTGTGACCTTCCTGAAGTCCACCATCAAATCCAGCTGGTGGTCTTTCAGTGTGACCATGGTGAAATGTTCTAAACGATGATGCATCAACATAAAAATCCCCTTTTACACGCCATAATCTTTATTAGAGTACAGGTAAAGTCTTCTCTTCGCAGCCAACTTTGCTCTTTCATGTGTGATGACACTTTTGGTAAGATAAATCTTACGTTGAGTGCAAAGAAATGCTGTTTGAAATGTGGAGATGAGTTCGTTTTACTGTCATATCTTGGTATCGTTGTAAAAGCAGCAGGGTTACGACCAGCTAGTTCCACAAAAAGGGGAAGAGAGAAAAGGAAAGGTGAGTATAACGCTGAACACATCAATCCCCAAAGGTCTGATGCAAACAAGAGGTTTGCGAATGCTGCTGATTATTTCTCTCCGCTCCTCCGCCCTCTCTGTACCCTCGTGGCGGTATAAACGCTAATTGAACGGGGGTGGCTGGTTTTCCCACAGGGTGCTCGCTGGTCTCATTACCATGTCTTTGTTCCTCCTCATTTGTAGCTTAATGCAGAGACTTGTTGCTGCCTCTGTTTGGTAACCACTTACCACTTGATTGATGATAATGAGCAGCTCTGGTCTTCTCGATCCCGTTCGAGTTCTGCTTCTCAGACGTCTCTGCTGGTTTGAACCTGCATAGGTGCTGAAGCCTCGTGTTTCCTGGGTAATAGTGGTGTTATAGGAGAGATGGGTTTGTGTGGAACAATGTGGAACATTTAACACTTCGGTTTGTTTTCTGCTTCTGGGTCTAAAAAGATAGTCCTTTTCCTCGTTATTTCATTTAAAGCCACAATCCGGAGTATTTTGTATCTTGACGGCACCATTTAGTGACTGACAAATGTATCGCACCTGAAAACTGCCGTTTTCACTTCCGTATTTACTGTTGAAAGCATCGTTCGTGAACGTGCATCTCGACCCGCCAAACAGAGCTAAAACACATTGTTTTACAAATATTATTATTATGTTATGTTGTCTATTCATAATGCTCTGTTCAAATTGAATGAGGCTCTATGGAACGAGGGTGGGTTTAGCAAAAAGAAAAATGACATATTGCTTCATTTCAACGTACAGGTTAAGACTACCACTATTACAGATTTCTAAAACATACGTAAACTCTGAAATGGGCTAAACTCAGGGTTGTAGCTTTAGCTCTGATATCAAAGTTCCCTGGAGCATAAATCTTACATTCATTCCTGTAAGTTAGGGCTGGGCGATATATCATCCATCTATCCATCCATTTTCTGAACCCGCCTGTCCATGTAGGGTTGCGAGGGGGCTGGTGCCTATCTCCAGAGGTCAACGGGCAATCAGGCGGGGGTACACCCTGGACAAAGTGCCAGTCCATCGCAGGGCAACACAGAGACACACAGGACAAGCAATCATGCACACACACACTCACACCTAAGGACAATTTAGACAGACCAATCAACCTAACCCAGTACCTTCTTGCTGCAAGACAACAGCTCTAACCACTGTGCCACTGTGCAGCCCGGGTGATATATCGATATTTTTAAAATATCGATATAATTTTTAAACAAGATACAAGGTGACTTTATATCTTTATATCGATATAACTGGTCAAAGTGCTATGCTAGCGATTAGCCGTTATGCTAGCGACATGTCGCTCCATCTCTAAGTGGTTATTACGTGCATTCTCACAAGTTTGCTCAATCTGAGAGCCTCTGAATAAGTGTACTGCTCTAAACTTTGCGTTTGGCGTCCTGGTTTTTAATTATTTGGGGACATTCAATGCTAACGGAGATCTGGTTTTCCATCCTGCTTGTGCGGAGACGAGCCAAACCCCTCCCTCCCCTGTGTAATCGGGAAACATCTACGGCCAAATGACCTCAAATGTATTGTAAGGGTTTGAATAGTAGACTATAGGGTTAACATTTTATTTTGAAGGTGAGCTCAATGGGTGAGAAATGTTCCGGTTCCAGTATTGCTATGCTAGTAAATACTCTGTTACAAGTGATTCTGTTGAAAAGGTTAAGAGTTTGTAAGGCGTGGTTTACGGCGACAGTAGCCCAAAAATAATACTCATAAAAGAGCAACCAGAGACTCTGAGGCCCTGTCCACACGTAGCCGGGGATCTGCCAAAACGTAGATATTTTCCTACGTTTTGGCCTGTCATCCACACGAAAACTGAGTTTTTTCACACGAAAACGGAGTTTTTTAAAAACTCCGGCCAAAGTGAAGATCTGCGTTTTCTCCGTTTTGGGTGTCTGCGTGTGGACAGACAAAACCGGAGTTTTAAGGTCCGCAACGTCACTTTCCGCGACTAAAAAATGCTGACATCACGTGTGCGACCTGTGTTTACACTAGCCGACATCACGGAAGCCTTCAGAGCTGCGCTCTGTCACTACCCGATCCATCAATTGTCCAAGTGCTTTCTGCTTGTTTGTTTTTTGCAAGCAGAATTACTGCTCCTTGCGGAAGACCACAGACGAAGGACGGGGGAAGTACTGCCGCCTACAGGTCTGGCATGTCCTTAACAACGTATTTATCCGGGTACGTGTGGACAGAGTCTGTTTTTAAAACGCGGTGGTGTGGATGCAAGTTTTTGGAGGGGCGGATATTCGTTTTTAAAAAACCCCGGCTACGTGTGGACTAGGCCTTAGTCATTACAGTATAGTCGCTGATATGAGCCAACACTGTTAGATTCCAGCCATGTTTGCCCTAATAACTAATAACGCCACCATGCATGGCCCATGTGATCTTCAGTAAATGCAATTACATCGAGATATAAGTTTTGGTCCGTATCGCCCAGCCCTACTGTAAGTTGTAGCTTTGCACTAATTTAAAGACCAAGTTATCTGGGAAGCCATTTTTTACTTTTTCTTTTTGAAATATGATCGGTCACATGCAGGCCAAACATAAAAATAGTCTTCTACCTCTATTTCCTGTATTAGCCGCTGACAGAAAACAGACAGGGAAAAGCTCAGAATAGAAAAGCCAGCCAGATCTATGCGTAGACTTGCCCATCTTGGCTTGCCATGGCGTTGTCGATTTAGCATCCGAGAGAGAGCAGAGCCTGTCTCAGCTAGCAGAAGCTAACTAGTAACATTAGTAACGCCACAACACGGCAGAACTACTTCAGGCTTGTGGTATTTGTGGAGATAAAATATCAACATTGCAAAACAGTCAGCTGAAGAGTTGTGTTGCTGTTAGCCAATCAGAAGTGAGATGTTCAAATATCAGGAAATAAGACTCCCAAATCCTGCTGTCTTCTGCTTCCCTCTGTTCTGGCTAACTTCTAGTTCCAGACACAGGAGCACCAGAGCTATTTTTCCTCACAGAAATTGACTCACAAGGCATTACATCCTAGCAGAGTCCACAGCAGATGTTTGAAAAGTGAATGAACTTGCTCTTTAAAGCCCAGTCGGGACCGTGCCGATCATAAATCTGGGCCTTGAAACACGTTGGATTGTGTTGGTCTGACAAACGAACGTGGTGCTTGTTAAAGTGGCGTGTCAGAGAGCCAGGCGACGAAAGTGTGCAGCACTTCGCTCTTCCACCATGTTGGTTTACTCCATTTGATCTCACGAGTTCTTGTCTGGGTGGAGAATGTCCGTGAGTGAAAGCAGTTTGTGTGTAGTGTCTTTTGGCAGAACACCACACACAGCAGGACCAAAATGTTATATCCAAGATTTTTTAATCTCCGCACGTGTCTCTTGTTTTCCCGGCAATTCTCAACCCACACCTGAAATCTGAGCTTTCGATTTTAATTTCTGATGACAACGTCCACGTACCTGACAGATCACGAAGATTTGGGATTGTAGTTCAGAAGCACTTTAATTACAACAATAAATATTACTAATACTGTTTTCAGTCTCATGAAATTGAGGTAATACATATTTACAGAAAAGATGCGTCTAAATTAAAATATGCACTAAAAACATTAATATCAATGGGAAACGTTGAACAACGTTCTTATTTACTTGGAAGAACTAAAAGACAAAAGGCATTACTCATTGATCTCATATCTGTTTTTCAAAATAAGAGGCTTATACCAGCAGCTAGCTGTGAATGCTGTAAGATCCGTAGCATAAAATGTAAGCTAATTTCTTAGCATAGTTGTATAAAGGTATCTGATTTCCTGCGTGGTCTACAGCTTCAGATACCTGAGGTATAATGGTTTGTGCAAAATCATTTTGTGTGCCGCCTCATCAGCTGAAATATCCCTCCTTTCATCTCTGTACAGAGTCTCTGGAGTCAATTTTGAGCGCGCTGTCTCAAGTGGAGTCTGGAGAAGCTGGTGCAAATCCCACGGCAGGTCTGGGATCGGCAGCATCCGGATCAGGAGCTAATCCTGTGAGTAAAAACACAAACGCTGAATTCATAGTTTTCTCTTGCCTGCTGTAAACATTAATGTGAGGGTAAATACACTCACTGGCCACTTTATTGGGTACACCTGTCCAACTGCTCGTTAACGTAAATGACTAATCAGCCAATCGCATGGTGGCAACTCAATGCATTTAGGCATGTTGACACGGTTGAGACGATCTGCTGCAGTTCAAACCGAGCCGGGAGCCGAATGACCAAGCGGTGTTAAGGTAAATGCGTAGAATTTCCCCCCCCAATCAACCAGCAAACTATTAGCAAGAAAAATGCTGTTGAGCAACTCAAAAGTGAAGCAGCATCAACTAAAAGAGCTGCGGTGTTTCTGTGGTCTCCCTCAGAGATCCACAAGTGACCAGCATGACTACAGCCTCGCATCGGAGATGGCCCGGCTGCCCCAGGAAATGGAGGAGAGACAGGAGAAGCTGGGCATCCGCTCAGGTTTCTTATGTAGCCCCACTAACATGTTTGACCAAGCAGTTAAATGACACAGCATTTCCTCTCATTCAACCATCGAAATAAAGTACAGAAATATAATTTTACTTACTGATAAAAAAAGAAGCAGAAACTGCTTGAATGATCTGTTAGTGCAGTTGTAACCGGATTACAGGATACAATAAGATAATTAAAAGAAAAAATAAACAAATGGGCCAATAATTAGGTTCGGGGAGAATTGGAGGTTGTTTAAGAATGACTGGAGTCACGGGTATAGCATGAAACGGTTTATATACTAAATTTTAATAATAATGGGAAATATAACACATAAAGATAACACACAAAAACAGATGAAAACAATCGACAATAGTAAAATGGTCGGTATGAGATTTGATCATATGAGTCACAAGTCAGCCGGCGTCAAGTCAAATCCCCACGCTTGGGGTGAAAGTCAGAGTCCGGTGGTGCGATTTTTTCCTACCGCACCGTTGAGATTGTTCACAGAAGAGAGCAGTCTGCTCTTCAGTTACTTGAGATGTCCTGGTTCGTTCAGTGGTTAAGGCTCGCCATCTCCCTCGTCAGGAAGAAATCCAGTTCTCGTTCCAAGTGAGTGATCATAGGAGTCGGGATCAAACCCAAGGAAAAAAAAAAAACCCAGCCTGTAAACAACAGGACTGTTAGCGAGTTGGCATCGACCCTTCTCGTCACATCACAGCATAAAGTCTTACAGACTTAACAAATGCTTCACTCTATTGGCATAGCCAATCATGTTTGGGTTCACAGTTCAACTAACATAACATCAATTTGATTGTCTATTAAAATAATTCTCAGTAGCTCTGGAAATATAATTACATATGACAACAATTGTTCAGCTCAATAGGCTCAGTTAGATTCTATTACTCTACACTATTCAACAAGAAATACATTCATGACAACAAGGATACATTTAGTTGTGTTTCTATACAGCATTGTGACACCTTGTATATCTGTAACACAATAAATAAATAAATAAATAAATAAATAAATAAATAAAATTTTCTATAACAAAATTAAACAAAATATAAATTCTGGTCCTTTGGTCCACCTTTGTAAAATAATTCCTCCCTAATCAGTTAGCTTTTATTTATTTTTATTTATCTATTTTTTTTATTATTAAATGTTTGGTTAAGGGACGCATTGCTAATTCTATGGCGTTAGCTATAACGCCCCTGAGGACCTTGTACATCTAGGCCGTACCACCATTAACTGGTGGTTTGAGCCGTTAACTCCTGGGAATCCCATATGCCCTACCGCCGTTAACTGGCGGTTTGAGCCGTTAACTCCTATATGCCCTACCACCGTTAACTGGTAGTTTGAGATGTTAACTCCTGGGATCTAACGTCTAGCAGCCCACTGCTGTCACCTCGGTTGCTGTAATTAGCTTTTTGAATTTAATAATTTACTGAATTTAATCTCATTCACTCACCAACGCGCTCCAACGGTTCCCTCCTACAGAGGATTGGTTCACTCTGTCGTCTCCACACAAATCTATAAGAATGGAATTAATTTGATAAGCTATTTAAGTTTCCTTTTTTTTTTTAAGTTGCATCGTTAGCTTTTTCTCTTCTTTTTTCTTTACTCACCGCGTTGGTTCCAAGTTCCTAGCTCTTATTAGAAGGAGTCAAGTCCGCCTCTCCCTCTATCTATGCGGCACCCAAATCAGGGTTCTTCACGGCCTCGACCGTTGTTTTTTTTTTCTCTCTCTCTCTAACCGCTCAGTCTTTGCTTTCTGTATCTGCGTGCTGCACAGCCGTTTGTCTCTCCTCTCGCTCAGCTGCGTCGCACGGTTTTATTTCGCGGAGGCGGGACTTATTTCTCTCAGCCAATGAAATTTCAGATTCCCACCTGGACCAATAGTATACAGCTTTCCTCTTCTGTTTCTGTTAGGGATGTTCAAGATTCTTGTTTTAACCGATGTTTAATATTAAACTCGTTATTTTAGTTATTCACCCTTCCAATAATTCATTATGAAATTATCTATTAGTTAATTAGATATCTATTAATTAGTATTGTTAATTTCCTTAATTTATATTTTATATTTTATCTAAATTGAGGATGGATCATATTAGTAAGCCAATTAGTTAATACCTCATTAAGGTTCTAGCTTCTGGGTTACATCCTCCCCCATTAAATATCATGCACGTCCCTGTGCATTGTTTCTACGGGGTACACAACTTCTTGAGTAAGAGAGTCAATAAAAGCTTTATTAAGTCCTTGGAAAAGGGACCTAACTACGGTCACTAGTGGATTGCCCAATTGAGAGTAAGTTAGTCTTTGAGGAGGCTGACTACTTCGTTCAGATCTCCTGACATACATCTCTGGTTGCACAGTATCATGCTCATCCGTTTCGGTTTGATTCTCAACTGAGACAGGACGAAGTGAGCTCTCTGTTTCCGACAGAGCTGATGAGCTATTCTCTAAGACTTTGGTCTTTTCAGATGTATGTGTCTGATCGTGTATGATGGGTTCAAAACTTACATCACGTTGCTGCGACTTTAGGACACCATCCAATTGAGGTAGGTTTGTGTTAGTTTCATCCCCCGTTTCTACGTCAGGTAAGTATACTTCGTTTTTTTTCGTTTTTTCAGGTAAGTATGTTGCTGCTTCTTTCACTCTTTCAGGTAAGAATGTCGCAGTTTCACTCATTCTGTCAGGTAAGAATGTTTCGGTGTTGATGCCTTTGTCAAGTAAGGACAATTCAGCATTTTCATTACCAGCTAAGGTTGGTTCCTTGCGATCCCCTGTGTGTAAGGATAGTGTGTTTTGTTGTTGAATATTATTTACCGGTCCTGAATCTGCTATGAGTTCCCTATTTGGCAAGGTGACCGCTATTTGATAGGATGGTCGGTTTAGCACTTGTGGAAGATCAGAGTAATAAAACTCATCTACCTCTTCGTCAAGTGGCTCATCTGGGTCAGGTTCTAAGGCTGAACTCTGTCTTGTATGAGGTCTGCTAGGTTTCGTAACGCGTTCTGTTTCATTTTCTAATGAAGAGAGAAAACCACAAGGCAGTAAAAGATCTCTGTGGAGTGTTCTGTTGGGTCCTTCTCCGTTCTCTGGTTTTACAGTGTATACTGGCAAGTTTTCCATCTGTTTGAGAACTATATACACTGTTTGCTCCCATTTGTCTGCTAATTTATGCTTTTCTCTTAAGCGAAGATTTCGGACTAAAACACGATCTCCCACACCTAGTGTGGACTCACGAATGTTTCTGTCGAACCGTTCTTTGTTCTTCCTCGCTGTTTTTTGAGAGTTTTTTATGACAATGTCATAACTCTGTTCCAGATGACTCTTCAGTTCTTTAACATACTGAGAATGAGTTATAGAGGGCTTGTTCAAATGCGGTAACCCAAAGGCAATATCTATAGGCAACCGAGGCTGCCTACCGAACATTAGCTCGTAGGGAGAGTATCCCGTCACGTCATTTTTTGTACAATTGTACGAGTGAGTAAGTGGTTTTACAAAATCGCGCCAGTGATGTTTCTCAGTGGCTTGTAAAGTTCCCAACATGCTGAGTAATGTACGATTGTACCGTTCAACGGGGTTGCCACGAGGGTGATAAGGGCTCGTTCTGACTTTACGGATACCAAGTAAAGAACAAAGTTCCTTGATTGTACGTGATTCGAAATCCCGTCCCTGATCACTATGAAGACGCTCAGGAAACCCGTAGTGGACTAAAAAATGTTCCCACAGGTTCTTCGCGACGGTGGTGGCTTTCTGATCTTTGGTTGGGATGGACACTGCATACTTTGTAAAATGGTCTGTAATCACTAAGACATCTTTAGTGTTCTTACTGTCTGGTTCTATGGAGAGAAAATCCATGCAAACTAACTCCATAGGTCTGGTGGTGGTAATATTCACCATTGGAGCAGCTTTGTCAGGGAGGGCCTTCCGACGGATACATCTTTCGCAAGTTTTAACTTTGATTTCGATATCACTAGCCATTCTTGGCCAGTAAAAACGGGACCGAATGAGATCTGTCGTACGTTCAACCCCAAGATGCCCCATATCATCATGTAGGCTTTGCATGACTGTTGAACGTAATGAATCAGGCAAGACTAACTGCAATGATGTCTCTGGTCCTAATTGGCGTCTCCGGTACAGTAAATCATTTTGAAACTCAAACCGTTTCCACTCTCTCAAAAGGTTAAGAACCACCGGGGGTTCTGCAATAGTATCAGTTGGCGGTTTATTGTCAGTCATAAGCAGCTGAATGACTCGGCCAATGGTTGGATCTTTCCTCTGCAAGGAGACAAGGTCAGCATGGTTATACTTGGGCACAGCAAAGAAACTGTCACTATTGTCTTCCAACTGGAATAGGTCTGGAATGGCCGCTGCAGACATGGCAAGTGACTGAACTAAACCACAAGGAGAATCAGTCTCATCCAAGACCATGTGCTTTTGGCATGTTGCCTTCACTGCTTCGGCTTGAAGTTGAAGCTCAACTTCTTTGACAGAGGATAAAAGATGAGATCGGAACTCATCTAGTCGTTGGCATT